TAGGTTGGGGCGTTGGGGCGCTGTGTTTTTTTTTTTTAATTTTGGCCCGGAAACGTTTCTATGGGCTGATGTGGCGTTTCCTCAAGCGTTTCCGGATCTATACCCGACCCCAAAAAGCGTTTCCAGGCGTTTCCGGACGTTTCCCGTTTCCGGGACGTTTCGGAAGCGGAAACCTGGACCCTTTTGGCGTTTCCGTGCATCCTAGGTAAGAATATAGGCATCATCCTTAATAGTCCGTTTGTCTCATATTATTTGTGATCAGTCTATAGGTGACCTTGCAACATCTTTGAGTGAGTCTAACACGTGTAGGTAGTGTTTTAGTTTTTAAAAGTGCTCCTGCGGTGCGCAAAGGCACTAGGCGCCGCTAGGTGAGGGGGATATCACATCTATTAGTCCCAGGCACAGTAGATTCCCATAGGTGAGCCCTATCATTCGCCTTTTGCCACTTTCTGCGCTTTTGGGAGGCGTACCCCTCTGGCGCCTTTGGGATGACCGTCGAGTGTTGAGTTATCCTTGAGAGACCTTTGGTGATTCTCCCCCTCTTCTTCCGCCTTTCCCTATTCTCCCCTTTCTTATCACTCCGTCAGTTTTTGTTTCCTTTAATCTTACTTCTCGTTTTATCTTAATTTTTATATTTATCAAATAATTTCAATTATTTATATATGCTATGTATCAATTTAACAATCTGCCCTAAACCCTAAACCAAATCAGATAGTTTATAAATTCTAAATAAAAATAATAAAGAAGGTTTCTACAATTAGATTTTTTTTAATTATTACTTTTAATAGTTCAGTAAAAAATTAATAACCGTTTTATTTATAATAAATTATTAATATATTACTATAACCCGTGTTTTATTTTATACTACGTAGTTGATTCCATAACAGCTATATATTGCAGTTTATTACTCCCTCCGTCCCATATTTATCTTCACAAGTACAATTGGCACACATATTAAGATAGTGGGAAATGTATGGTGGAGAGTTGTGCAGAGGAAAGAGAAATGTGTAAGAATGTGTAAGAATAGTTGTGAACCAAAAATTCTTTGCTAAAAAGGTAAAGAGGAGATAAATTTGGGACAGACCGAAAAGGAAAGTATGAAGATAATTCCGGGATGGAGGGAGTATTATTTTTTACGGATACAGTTTATTATTATTAAAAATTTACCATATAACAGTTTATTTAAAAAATTACTTTTAATTGTTCAAAAATTATTAGCAAGTGTTTATTGTGACAGTTTATAATTTTTAACAATTGATTATACAACAGTTTTTTAAAAAATTGGTATTAACTGTTTAAAAATTACTATTAATAATATAACAATTTATTTAACAAATTACTCTTGAAAACGAGGTTGATGACTGATAAATTCTAGGCCTATGCGTTCACAACTTTGCTTATGAGATTGCTACTTTGCTTTTTAATTACATTATGAATAAGCATTTAACAGATTTCTTGCTACTGTTTGAATAAATTTTTATTTCTATTGCGACTGATTTTGGTGTTTATTAAGCCTGTTTCGTGGCTTGAGGTATTTTTGTGATATTATCATTTCTGGGAAGAGGTCTTCATGTAGGAGTAGTATATTGTAAAGGTCTGTAAGGCGCGTGCCTTCGCCTTGCGCCTCGGGTAAAAATGTAAAATGACCTAAAACTCCTTGCGCCTTTTAAAACAAAGTGCGTTTTTCTGTCAGTTTGGTTTTGAAAAACCCCAAGTTGAAAACCAAACCAAAAAAGGGAAACCCTTGACATAGTAGTAAAAACGTTTTGGAATTCCAAAACAGGAAAACTATGTTTTCATTCTCTAAATAGGATTACTTGTTGCCAAGATTGGAAAATATTGTCATGTTTAAAGCCGGGTATGCCAAAACATGGCAGTAACTACATGTAGTTACGGAATAAAAGCATAGTACTATCTTGGAATTCACAACGTTTTTGCTCCTATTTAGGACAATTTATTAACCAAAAAAACTGAAGTTGGTTTTGGTTGAGTTTTTGTTATTTCTGAGCCAGTTTGTGGTGGTTACTGATTTTTCAAAACCTTAACATTAAACAAAAACTAAACCGTCTATGGGCTATGGTTGTATCAGTTTCGGCTGGTTTGGTTTTGGACAGTTTGATTTTGGCAGTTTTCTTGTTTATCCCTTATTACTTGTTAGTGCAATTGGGTGGACATTACAGTCTAACACGTTGAACCTGTAATTTACCTGTTTTGGGCTATGGTTAGTCTATGGGCTATGGTGCACATAGTCTTTGGGCTATGGCCTATGGTTAGTTTTATTTCATTTAAATTTGAAGAATAATAAAGTGAAATTGTTATTACAATCTACTAAGCCAATGTTTGTTGTTCAGGAAAGAGAACAGGCTCTGAGAGCTTTCAAAAGTGGTAGGACACCGATTCTGGTTGCAACTGACGTGGCGGCACGTGGTCTTGACATTCCTCATGTCGCGCATGTCGTCAATTTTGACCTCCCAAATGATATTGATGATTATGTCCACCGCATAGGAAGAACCGGACGTGCTGGGAAAACCGGTTTGGCCACCGCTTTCTTCAATGAGGGAAATTCTTCCATTGCAAGGTCATTGTCTGATCTCATGCAAGAGGCTAATCAAGAAGTTCCTGCTTGGCTTTCCCGCTTTGCTGCCAGATCATCCTCACATGGTGGTAAGAACCGCAGGGGCGGTGGGGGCCGCTTTGGTGGCCGTGATTTTCGGAAGGAGACGTCCTTCAGTAGAGGGGGCAGTTCAGACTGTTATCCAGGCGGCAATATGGGTGGTGGTTATGGCGCGTTTGGTGGCGGGTATAATAGTGCCTCGTATGGTGCTGGTGTGGCTAGTGCTTGGGATTAACAAATTCAAATTTGTCCTATTTAGCAACCCGAGTTTTAGGTACTGCTAGAATACAGTTCCTCGATGTGGGTCCGACAGGGAGGGAACCTCCGTGGTGGGGTACGCCAGTAGTATATACTTAGATATTTGTGGTGCTTTTATTTTATTTTTATTTATTTTGTCAGGATTGAAGATATCTTGGCTTTGTACTCTGAAGTCTGAAGTTTTGTTGGATGGAGGTGTGAGGGAGGGTGCTTCTGTGTAAATGTTGGCAGGCTGGAATGAATAAATCTGCTAACACCTCCATTCTTATGCAATATTTACTTCTTGACTTAGTAATCCAATTTCAACATTTAACATTTGGTTAGAGGTCTACTAAAGAAGTAAAGATGGATTCCCCCACCCCTCCCACTCCCACCCCCACACTTTTTCTTTTCTTTTCTTTTGATTGTGTCGTCATTCTTTTCTTTTTGTTTGCTAAAAAAAGGTCTTACTTTTAACTGTGAGCTTCAAGATCTGTGTTCCTGGGAAAGTAGTAGCCATACTACTTCAAGATCTGTCTAATCTTCTTCGTGTCCACGGCCCTGGATTAGTGACCTTTAGGCTGGGCCCTGGACTTTTAGGATGGTGGCTCCTAGATTACTTCAAGATCTGTCTAGTTCAGTTTTATGCATTGTGCTTATCTGGTTTGATCATCTTGATAGTGTGTAGCCAAAGGCTCGGGAGTCGGGACCTTGCACCCGATCAGGCCCAGCACCCCTATTCCGTTCATCGAGCTAACCGTGCCAAGCGTTCAAGTCTGAGTGGTCTTCCACCTTAATGGATTTGGGCTTTTCTGAGCTGTTGTGGAATGTCCGAGATAATAAGATAATGCTAAAATATTTCTAGAAATAAGTATTATCAAACATTTACTCGTTACATGCACAGAGACTTAGAAATAAAACTAAGATTTGTAAGATAAAACCAAGATTAACAAGATTTGTAAAACTAAAAATAACAAAGACAGAACAAAATATAAATGCAAGAATCCACTTTTTCTAATTACTCTCACATATCACACATTACTTGAACTATAGGTGCAGAGATGGAGAACAAAATATAAATGCAAGAATGCACTTTTGTCTAATAGAACAAAACTATAGTGTTGATCTTTGAAGGAAAAGTCCTATAATCTATATCTTTATAGAGGGCTGTTCTGGTGCGTTCGTCCACAGGAGAAGTGATAAAGAACATGTCATAAAAATTTCATCAAAAAATTCCAGCGGGAAAGTAGCCAAACGTCGTCGGCCGGATGGCCCCTTGGTGTGGCCGGACGTACATGAATACTACGTATATCTTTATACTACGTATATATAAAGATAATATATGGTTGAAGATCAAATAGATGATCTTCCCTCCAACAAAATTTCATCATTGAAATATTAAATGAACTCTTTTAATTAATATATGTATAGATATCAATTAAAATAGTATAAGAATAAATATGTAGAAAAATAATAATAATATCAATGTTATCTTACATGTATAATTAGTCTCACGTACAGAATACATAAGTTAGGATGACTAATTTTTTGGACCTGTTTGGCAATCGAAATTTAGCGATTAGCGCTTAATGAATTGTGTTGGCAGATAATTGATATCACATTGAATTGGCGGATTTGGCTAACGGACTAATGATGGATTGTGAAATGATATTTGATAAATTAGATATTCGGTATTAGCGGTTAGTAGATATATATAACAAGAAAAGTAAGTAACTTTGGATTTATTTTTAAATTTCTTATACCTCCGTCCCAAAAAGATTGATACATTTTGACTTTTCTTGGTCAATGGTGGTAAAGATTAGACAATGATTTTAGGTATTATATTTGTTTGTAATTTATAAATTTTATACCTTATGTAAGATTTTTCAATAAAGAATATGTTCATTTAATTTTCATATTTTAAATAATTTTATATTATTTAATATCATTGGTCAAACTTAACCGTCATTGACTAAGAAAAGTCAAAATGTATCAATCTTTTTGGGACAGATGTAATGTTTGATGGATGTGAAACATAAGATAACCCTGTAATTAAGAGAAGCATATATACTTTGGGGAATGTATGGTTTCTTTAATTGAACTCCACGTACGGTACACCATGCATCCACGCACTAGCTTTTGCTTATTTATTTTATCTCCGGCGACAAGCCAAGAATTCTCAGCTCCCTTTATTTTTGCAGCAATATGAATATATACTTAGTATCAGCCTTTGCCTAAATACTTCTCAACCTCATTCTCACACAAATTAAATACAAATATTGTATGCGTCACCACTATGCTTACATTCCATCTCCCCATTTTCTTCACCTTCCTATCCATATTATCAGGTACGCACGTACGTACATTATATTTGAATTCATTTCTCCTTTTTTCTCTTTACCCACTTTATTTCATCATATTCTTATTTATTTTTTACTTTAATTCATCGCTACATTTCTTATAATTTCGTATGTAATATCAGGGGTGGACCGTAGTACAGACCGTAACCCCCCAACAAATTTTTTTAGTGTATATATACGAAAAATATTTTTACCCTCCTTAACAAATCATTTTCGCCCCTCCAAAAAAAATTGAACCCCCCTATTGAAGTATATTATAGCTAATTTTTATTTCTACGTACTACTTTCATTTCGGTAATTGACACATGATGTAATATTAATTTATTACATTGCCCATTACTCATTACTCATATTTGAATCAAGGAGAATTCCTACAATGTTTCATAGCTCTTTCAGTCTCATTCCAAATTTATATCAATTTTCTTCTCCCAGTTTATATTAATTTTATCATTGTATCCCAAAAAATATTTTCACCCTCAAGACTTAGCCACTCGCAGAAACCCAATTGTTTAAAAGCATAAAACACAATTCTAAGGTATTAACTTTACTATTCTGTAATAATATATTTCTCTTCTTCTATTTTTTGTCTATTGTATACTATTTTAATGCTTCATTTAAAATCAAGGTTTGTACTATTAACATGAATTTCCTGGGTCTGCCCCTGGAAATTGCCCAAATTGCCGTATTGATTAAAATCATTTAGGCCAGTGGTGTGATATGTGAGAGTAATTATTAGAAGAGTTCATATTAGTATCTTCGTATTATATAAAGTAGCAAATTACCGCCCCTCCACTGGTTTTTTGATTATAGTATCTTCATAATATATAAAGTAGCAAAATTGCCGTCCAAAAGAGGGGTAAAAAAGTAATACATGCAGTTGAAATATACAATCCCGCCCACGGTGGCTGTTGTGCATTGAAGGTTTTAAAACGTGTGCAATCATTCCATTTCTTTTAGGAACCTTTGTTTTTTTAATAATGACAGTTTTTATTACCCATTTTTTAACATAGGTTCATCTTGATCCAATTTAGAGAGTATTGTACTAATTAATTATTTAATACTCTGTATGGCAAGAATTAGTGACTTGCACATGTAACAATTAGAATGATGCAATTGAATTATTTAAATTTAGATTAAAAATGATATAATGATTTAGACCAATCAAGTGACTGGTAGGTACGGTAACACATTTTTAAAATGAGTATCAGAGTTGTCACCATGAAAAAATGAAAAAATGGGATAATCATAGGGGAACGGAGGGAGTACCATATAATATGAAGACATGAAAAAATGAAAAAATGTTGTATATTTATTTAACAAATCTTTATATAATATAAAGTAACAGTTTCTGCACCACAATTGGAGGGAAAAATCCCGCCTAAAATGAAGACATAATGGTGAATTAATGCAAAAATTAAATTTGGTAATGTATGAACTACATTAACGAATGACAATGCCAGGTTTCTAATAAAGTACTCCGTATGTTACAATTCCTTTCCAAAAAAAAAATTGAGTAGGTAACATAGAATAAAAAAAGGCGAAATTGACATTAATAATCCATACTTTTATGCATTCTACAAAAATAATCCCTACCAGGAAAGATCACAACAATAATCCGAACTATTTAACTCTTTCACATAAATAAACCCGGAGTTAACGGTGTTAATTTTTTCGTTTAGTGTTTTTTTTTCCATTTTAAATATAATCAAGCAAAAATATGTATAAGCATCAACAATGTTATATACTTCGTATATTTGTCCTTATATTTGCATTTATTATAAATTAAATTTAATAGTCATTCTTTATATAATACCACATATGAAATAGAAAAATTGCTACAATTATTAGAAGGGAAATTCTCGCACAAAATTTAATCTTTATCTTTATCTTTTCTTTATATAATATAAAATAACACCAACCGGGCCGGTCTGGGCCCGCACTGTGGCGGGTCGGGCCGGTTCCGGGCCGGGCCGAACCGGTTGAGTCCACCCCTACCTCAATGGGTGGGTTAAAAATTCATATATTTGATGATGAGGGTCATGCTATCAACACCGGTGCATGGCCTAAATGATTTTTTTGAAAATTTATGATACTTTTTGTATATTATGAAGATATATGATTATTCTTTTTTATAAAGTTTCATGTGACCCACTAATAATTATATTACAGTATCATTTCATTGTAACATAGAGCTTACTCTTACACTTTATCATTAATTTTAGTTTTAATTTTAGTTTTACTTGCATTTTTTCACACAGCTAGTCCAAATTTTCATTTGCTTATAACTTCTATGATATAATCAAAGTTACAATATACTCCGTATAAAAGCTATTGTCTTTTTTATTTAGCAAAATTACATAATATATATCATCTTAACAAAATATAATTTTAAATAATATGTTAATATACTCCGTATTATATTCTAGATATATACCGTGCATCGCACGGGTACTTCGTCTAGTTATATTAAATTATACTCCCTCCGTCCCCCAATTAAGTTCCCGATTTGACTTCACACGTATTAAGAAAATAAATTTGACTTTACTGTGGAGTGCACTGTTTTGCACTGTTCAAACACTGTTTGACACTGTTTGGCATTGTTTTGCACTGTTTTGATATAGATAATTTGCCAATTAAGGAAAATAAGGAAGTGTGAACTTAATTTAGGGACTGCATAAAAAGGAAAGTGGTAACTTAATTGCGGGACGAAGGGACAACTATTTCTGCAACCTTCTACTTATCTTTTACGAGTATAATTTTATTCCTGCTTTTTAACTTACTAAAACAATCTTACCAAATTCTGGCGGCAATACGATATAGATTATAGAACGACATATAAAAATTCATCATAATCGAGTTAATAATGTTTTTGGATAACGAGGTAATATGCTTTTAAAAATACTACTCCGTATCTTAGGATGTTTTCTTTTGCATTGAAATTTGCTGGTCTGATCTGATCTGATCTGCTTTGGTCTGATTTGAACCGGTCTAGTCTGATCTAATAAGCGTCTGATATCTGTGTATTTTATAACTAAAGAAGTCTAGTTGGATCTGGGATTGAAAATAGTGTGGAACTGATGCATGGTGAGCACCATCCACCCTTTGTTATTTTTTATTTCTCATTTTCTTAAAATTGTTAATAATGTTTTTATTTTTGATCCGATTTTTATAAAATTTATATCAAATTTTATTATTTTTCATGATCTTTCAAATGAGACCAATATTTCCTATGTAATTTTAACATATTAACATTTGCGTGTAAAATATATGTAACTTTATGTGTTAAAATATGTAACTCACGTTCATTCAGGCCAAATGCAACCCGTGCGTATAAATATGTAACTACACATGTAAAAATATGTAACTTTACGTGTAAAAATATGTAACTTTACGTAAAAAAATATGTAACTCGCGTTCAGACAGGTCAAATGCAACTCGTGTGTATAAATATGTAACTCGCGTGCATAAATATGTAACTTTAAGTGTAAAAATATGTAACTTTACGTGTAAAAATATGTAACTCGCGTTCAGGCAGGCCAAATGCAACTCGTGTGTATAAATATGTAACTTTACGTGTAAATAAATGTAATTTTACGTATAAAAGTATGTAACTCACATGTATAAATACATGATACAATAAATTTTTTATATACACAATTTTAAGATGAATTGTGATTTACACGATTATTTTTCTGTATTAAATTTAGTTCGGTTTTCCTTATAATCCAATAATCATTTATATAATAGTTCCATAATTTGTTAAAATTACATAAGCAATATTGGTCTCATTTGATAGATCATGAAAAATAAAAAAATTGATATAAAATTTATAAAAATCAGATATCAAATAAAAAAGTTATTACAATTTTTAACAATAAAAGAAATAAAAAATAATGGAATGAAGCCACTGCATGCTGCGTCGTTTTGCAACCGGGCGCACCATCCTCATGGTGCATGCGCCGGTTGCACGGTATAAATTACGATAATATTGTCTTATTCTTTTAATAAGACTAAATAAGTTAAATAAGTCCTATTTGAGGAATATAACATAGAGAGCCATATTTTTGAAATTTGCTTATGTTTTAATCTTTGAGAAATTTCCATTATTTAGTACGTAGTATGTCACTGCAATTTCTAGATTACGGCTTATTCCTATTTAGGACAAAAAAAAAATAATACACGTCTTTATGAATATCACATTGTTTTTGACTAGACAATTTTTTTATTCTTCTTTCTAAACACTGCATAGATAAAAAGGATCCGAGTAGTACATGCGGAGTATTAAGCACAAAATTAAATTAATGAATTAATAATAATCTTATTGTAGAAAAGAATTCCTTAAAATGTTAAATATATTGTCTTCGCTCTTTTTAAAATTTAATATTTTTAATTATAACGGTCCAGTTTGATGATTAGTATCTTTCATTATTTATTGGTAAAAAACTAAAAAAGTAAGATTTTGAAAATTTAAAATGAGAGAAATGTAACAATATAATTTGAATGAAATACGGTTATTATTATTGGTTTAATTAATTTGGGGAAGGCAGGCGTGAGAAAAAGTGAAAGTGCGAGAGTTTTCACAATTGTGAACAACTGCAAAGAGACAATCTGGCCGGCGGTGACCCCCGGCGAGAATTTCAACGGCGGGGGATTCACTTTGAAGGCGGGGCAGTCGGTAGTGTTCACGGCGCCAGTGGCATGGAGCGGCAGAATGTGGGCCCGGACGGGATGCAGCTTCGACAAGAACGGCAACGGGACGTGCCAAACCGGGAGCTGCGGGACCACTCTCAAGTGCGGAGCCTCCGGCAAAACCCCGGTGTCGCTCGCGGAGTTCACGCTGGCCTCCCCGGACTTCTATGACGTGAGCCTGGTGGACGGATTCAACGTGCCGGTGACGGTGAAGCCGTTGAACGGGAAGGGGAACTGCAGCGTGGCAGGATGCGTGGCGGACCTGAGGCCGGGCTGCCCGTCGGAGCTGGCCCTGAAGGCGAACGGGAAGACGGTGGCGTGCCGCAGCGCGTGCGACGTGTTCGACACGGACGAGTACTGTTGCAAGGGCATTTACGGGAATCCGACGACGTGCCAGCCGACGTTTTACTCGAAGAAATTCAAGCAGGCTTGCCCCACCGCCTACAGTTATGCGTACGATGATCCTTCCAGTATCTTCACTTGCTCAGGCACGGATTATGTTGTTTCTTTCTGCTCCTCTAGGTACCTACCTGTTTTGCTCTTGATTGATTGATTGATGTTTATACGTACATGAAGCTAAGCGTGGAAAATTAATACTGCATATATGCTTATATATATAGAAGCTACGGAATCATAAACTAAAAAAGTTGCTTTTAAATGATGATTTCAGGACAGGGAGAGTGTGTACGTACCACGACCACCTCGTGCGTTGCAGTGGCGCCCATGGATTCAGATTATTCACCACCGGATTGTTCCTCATTCTTGCAGCCAATTTGTGGATCCTTTTTTAAATCTAAAAACTAAATTAATCACATTATATTGCCCCTACAAAATTAACCATACATAGCCAATGGCCGGCGAAATCAGGGGTCGAAATTTAATTATGCATAGTATCAAAATGGCAGATCATTATTGAACAATACTTGGTCGTAAATGGCAGTTCAATGAGACTTATTCAGTCATTGTATTGATGTATATGTCATGTATTATAAACTTCACACAACTAATGCGTGGATAAGGTGTTTTATTTTTAGATTTAAGAATACAATAAGTCCCACACATCAAATTTTGCTCATTTCAAATTAAGATGATGTTGATATTTCCAGGAGTCGTAAGTCATACTCCCTCCGTCCCGAAATAATTGTCCCCCTTTCCTTTTCGGTCCGTCCCGAAATAATTGTCTCCTTTTCTTATTTGGTAAACTAATCTATACAAAACAGTGTCAAACAATGCAAAACAGTGCCAAACAGTGTCGCTACAGTGCCAAACAGTGTCGCTACAATGTGAAGTCAACTTTGTTTTCTTAATCCGTGTCAAGGTCAAAATAGGACGATTATTTCGGGACGGAGGGAGTAACTTTTACTCGTAATAAGTTACGAGACTCATAACGTATCAAATCGAATGTATTTCAGAGCTCAACATTCTCGAACTCTCATTGGCTATGTTGCATGATGCGTTCACACATTACACGTGGCCACGATGGTATGTGACTTTTCATATCCTCTAAGTAAATCAATAAGTAATTGCCCTTAGTGGGAGTAAAATAAAGAACTTTTCCCTAAACAAGAGCAGCCTTCTAATCTTCTCTAAATAGAAGTAAACATTGATTTTCTACTATACCCCAAATACTCATACTCTAATTAATTAAATTAATTAATTGCCCCTAGTTCTCTTTGATAACTGGCCGAGGCAGACCGTTAGTGATGGGGCAGTCCTGCGGTGGTGGGGAAATCCGATGATGGTGGAGGCGGAGAGGGAGGTGACCGGCGGCAGTGGCAGGAGGAATGGGGCAAAAATGGATTTTTGCCTCGCCGGAGCTCTGGCGGCCGGCTAGCAACAACGACAGGATTTCGGCAAGTCGGTGGCGAAGATTCGATGGCCGGCGGCGCTGTAGCGACAGGCAACAGATCTAGCAATGGCATGGGCATCCTCATCCATTTAGGAAAAAACTCCTATTCAGGAAATTTGGAAACCCTACTTCTATTGTTGCACATCTCTCATGTTTTACTCTTATTTGGGCAATTATCTCTATCATTCATTCATCATTACCCCAATGTCGCAAAGACTCCCACCTACGATGAGATAAGAGGGGTCGGATGTATGCAGTTTTACCCTTGTACTAAAGCACAGATAGATCGTTTCCGGATGACTCATGGTGAAAATCACGTGAAAAATTGTATGAATTGAGTGCTGCTTCATAATAAAGAAGCGCATAAAGTTTAATGAGTCATTTTTCTTTATTCCATATAATCAGGGAAATTTCCTAAACAGGAGTAAAGAAGTTTTGAAATTTCGAAATAGGACTGTCATGTTTTTATTCCATAAATAGGAGTAATTTCTGTTAGAATATTATATTATTGTGTTCAAATTAATTATATTTTAGTTAATGAGTCTTTGTATCTAATTAGATTAGCTGAGAGAGAATTAGGCCTGAATTAATTGCTCTACATAGCCCACACGCACGGCCCACTCTGTTTCCTAATTACAGTTCGAACATCTCCCTATAAATACATGCTGAGATGACCAAAAACTGCTAAGTCTCTACACATTCTGTTTCCTCATATTATTCTGGTAGAACACGTAGATTAGAAATTCTCTCTCTAGTTCAATCGAGTACTGTGTATTGTTCATCATGGATTTATCATCATTAATACACGATATACGTTATTGGTGAATTTCTATTCTAGTGTATTAATTCTTCCTATTGTTATTAGTATATTCGACTGTTGAATCTGGGCATAACTCACACAATTGGTATCAGAGCTTCAGCGCAATTCTGTTCTTGAGAATCCTTGAATTTTTCTGGAATTAATTTGATCAAAATAACAATTTTTGGTTGAATTAATTTCTAGATCTGTTCTTGATAATTTACTAATTTTGGAAGGTTGGTGCTACAAATTCTCGCAGTTAGATCCGGTTACCAAATTCTCGCAGTATCGAAATCCTTACTTTGGGAAACTGAAGATTTGGAGTGTCTAAAGGATTTCGTGCACCCGAAATCATAAATTTCGAAAGGTTGCCCGAAATCATTTGTTGCTGAAATCTTAAAGATTTGTATTTTGCTGACCCAAAATCTGCCTAAGAAAAGAAGGGTACCCGAAATCTTTTGTAGCAACCTAAATCTTAGGCTGACCCGAAATCTGAAATTGAAGCAGGACCCGAGACCATCTTCGAAATCTTACTCACAGGGACAGCCGGAATCAATTCCTAATCAGCATCCGAAATTAGGAAACAAACAATTCTGGAAAATTTAGCTGGTGTCAAAAGACAATTCTGGTAAAAAAAAAAAAAATCTCAAGATTAAAGACTATTTCTTTCTCAAAAGCTCGTCAAAGCTATTCTCTAAAGGATACCTCTCCGACAATCATCAAGGAGTACATACTCCAACTCATCAATGCTCTCAAGCAACGAATCAACCACAATATCTGACAAGTTCCAGGTAAGTAGTTCTTATTCCGATAAAATAAAAGAACTTGAAGATAGACTTGCTGATAATCAAAGATGTCTGGAACGTCATTTGATAGAAGGAGCTCATCAAAATGTTCGTTTAAAAGACTCACGCGATAGGGTCACTAGTTTAGAATCTGAAGCAAGTAAACTTAAGCAAGTTGTCTCTCATTTACCTAAGGAACGAGATGATTTTAAACGACAACGTTCTAAAGCTGTTACTCGTTTTGAAATGCTTAACAATGAGCGTGGTTGTCTTTATTAAAAAATAAAGGAGTTATAGGATATTTTAGCCAAGAAAGGACAATCTGAACAAACAATTCATCTTTTGAACAGTAAAATCAAAGACACTCAATTTTACAACCCTAGAGAAGGACTTGGTTTTCAAAACCCAAAAAAATTGAAGAAAGCTGATTGTGCTCATTGTATGACATTAAGTACATGAATCTAGGGTTTACCAAACTGATGAAATTTACATATGGTCCTCAAACTATTGAGGAAGAGGAAGAGAAAAGGAAAAATAGAGCAAAAGCTGAAGTCAAATTTGATTATACTACTCTTAATGACAACTATGCTACTAGAGAAATTCTATTATCTGATGACTATATTGCCCTCTCTCCTCCTGAAAATCAAAATGTGTCCAGTGAGGAAGAAGCATCAACCTCAAAAGTTTCTGAACCATACATTCCATAGATCATTAAGAAAATTGCTGATCTTCACACATCTTTGGAAACTGAAAGAAATGTTTTTAAGGAAGAAAAGGAAAATCTTTTGAAGAAAATTTCAGAATTAACTGATCAAACCTCTAAAGGCTCGAAAACTTCTGATATTTCTCTTTTAAAAAAGAACACAAAGAAAAATCATTTTGCAAGAAAAAGGGACTTTACCTCCTCTCATGTTCCTAAAATCAATTTTTCAAAACCTCCTTCTCAACATGCTTCTAAAGAAAATGGATCATCCTCTCACTCTCCTTTTGAAAAACCGAAAGGTAATGTTCTTAATAAACGTCAAGAGAAGAGGATGACCTGGATCTTCAAACAAACTCAAAAGGAGGCTGCAAGACTCAAAATATTTTCCGAAAAATCAAAGTCTCTTTTTCCAAGTCTTGTAGTAAATTCAAGAATAATCATTCTAGTTCTGAAAGTCAGTCACCAAGGTATTTCACAGACAAGTTTGCTAAGTCTTCTACTGATGATTCTAATCATGTGAATACTTATTCTAGTGCTTCTGTTAATGCAACCAAGCAGTCTAATTCTTCAAGTCACCATTGTGATGTGAGTGATGGGACATCTAAACAGAAAAGATTTAGAGCTTCTACCTATGGTATTTGTGATGATGATCAACTGAAATATCCTCTCAATGTTTATTTAGTCAAACATTTGAAATGTCTATCAAAGGAGAAAATCTTTACTTCTCAAAATAATATCTCATCATTCACCTGTGCTGAAACTGTTATTGTTCAAAAATGAATTCATAAATCAGAATTACAGTCATATAGCTCTCCAAAAGCTTAAAAAGAGACTGGTTTAGGAACAAAAATAAAACACAAATTTCAAAATATGTTTTATGCTAGAAAGGACGGACCCATCCTTAAATGGGTACCAAAGGTTTCTTAATTCTTTTGCAGGTATCCCTCATGTGTGGTACCTGATATGTTTGCTCCACACACATGATGGGAAATTGAGCTACTGAGCAACAACCCTTTGGCTTCGGAGTAAATCAGCTCAGAAGCCGCATAACAACTTGGCTTCTAAGTAAATCAGCTCAGAACCCGCATTACAACTTGGCTTCTGAGTAAATCAGCTCAAAACCCGCATTACAACTTGGCTTCTGAGTAAATTAGCTCAGAACCCGCATTACAACTTGGCTTCTGAGTAACTCAGCTCAGAACCCGCACTACAACTTTGCTTCGGAGTAACTCAGCTCAGAACCCGCACTACACCAGAGTTTCTGGATACATCACCCCAGAACCCGATAGCACAGAAAGGCTTCTGAACTCCTCAATTCAGAACCCACACACAAACATATGACGTATCATACGTCAAGGGGAGCGATGAAGAATTCTCTTTCTGAGCTTCCAAACAAGTTCAACAAAAGCTCCCGATGCACCTATTCAAGACAAATCATTCTCTAGGAGGAGCAAGTGTGCACATTATGGAGAGTATTGACATATATACTACTCCACTGAGCTGAAAATCAACATATGCACACCTCAACACCGACACATGCCAAGAACAAGCAACAAGTGCATATTCTGAGGGGGAGTGTTTCTTCTTCACTCCACCTGGTGCCATACAACGAAGAAAGCACATTCCAAGGGGGAGCTTCCTAGTTTACTCCCCAGATGACAAACAATAATACTTACAAATTCTGAGGATGAACATCTCTATTTCCTCCTGACACCACACAAGGATCGATGCAAAAATATATCAATTCAAGGATGCACATTTTGAGGGGGAGTGTTAGGAATATTTTATGGTGTCCAATCTAATTAAATATCTTTGTATTTGTGTAGTTATTAATTAATCGTGTAATACGGGCCACAAATGTGTATCAGCCCGTGGGCTTCCTTGTAACCCGTAAGTTAGCTAACTTCTCCTATAAAAGGAGGCTAACTTACGGGAACCCAAAAGATAGAAAGAGGCTTAGAGTTCAGAGGCGTAAAGATAGAGAGAGGAGGGTTTCCGCTGCTCTCCTTCTCCAGGGAGAGCAGGGGGGTTTATACGGTATACCAGTTTTGGCTTTAATCTTCTCGATATCTTTCTATCTGCTTCTTCTTAACTGCTTAGATTGTTCGATTATTAGTATTCTGGGTTTATCAATTGGTATCAGAGCCGAGGCATGAAACAGGTTGGATCTATCTGCGATTTTTTGGATCTAACGAAGAACTGCTCTGCTTTTCTTCTGTTTTTCTAATATGTAGAGATTTGCTCCTGTAATCTTGTTTGCGAACGAAATTTTGTAAAAATCATACTGTTGGACTCGCCTTTCAAAACCGATCCAGCAGCACACCTCCTTTTTCGTTTTCTGCAATTTTTATATTTTGAAGATCTCTACATTGAGATCTCGAAATCCTTTTTTTTCACTGCTGCAGAAACGTTTTTGGCTTGAAACTGATACAGGAGAATCTCGACCTTCAGGGCTTTTCAGAACAGGTTTCAGATTTTCAAATATCGATGTTTTCATTTTGCAGGATTTTGACATTGAGGATCTCGACATCCAAATCTCGAGATCGAGGTTTCGATTTTAAGGTCTCGACTTCTGGTCTCGACATTTGACTTCTCGAAATAATATTTCGAGTTTCACTTCTCGACATCTCAAATCTCGAGATTTACTTCTCGACATTTGAAATCTCGAGATTTCAAAACTGGACATCCTAATCTCGATATCAAATCTCGAAACCGGGCCTCCTTTATCGAAATCCTAGATCTCGATATTCAGATCTCGACATCTGATTTTTGACATCCTGCCTCTGAAAATCCTTTGGAATTTCGAGTTTTGGGATTTCGACATTTGGGATCTCGATATTTTGGATCTCGACATTCTGAAGATTTCGAGATTTTCAAAATTTCTCGATGTTTTGAATCTTTCAAAGTTTGCAGTTTCTTGGAACTCATAATTCGAATCTTGACATTCTTTGCAGTTCATCGAAGCTTTACATTATAGGATTTCTGAATAATTCCCTGCTTATAAATGTT